GAATAAGAAATATGTAAATGTTCAAATGAAACTGTAGCCTCAGTCCATAAAGTTGTTTATTGTTAGTTTAATCTTTGTTGAATGAAATAAACTTTGTTGTTTTGGAGTTGATTAAACTGTTGTAATCTATCTTTATAAATGTTTTAACTAATTACTGAACTGATCCTGTTAGCGCTCATGAGTAATAGGTCGCCAACCAGGAATCTCCAGTCAATTCTGTCCTGGGTTCTCCTTTCTAATTGTTGACGGGTAATTTTCATCTTTTTGATATCCGCTATCAATCCTCGGCACCTCATGTTCTTTGACCTCCCTTCTTTTCCCTAGCCTTAATGATTCTAAGTTGGGTTTTATCCTATGGTGAAGTTACATGAATTCTGTACTGCTTGTCCTATCCTCTTTCAGTGTTTTTTCCTAATTTTCTCATCACTTGGAAGCCGGTTGGTTCTCTTTTACAGTAGGTAATACTTAATGATCTCTAATTAATCTGGAGTATCTTGTGTTGACAGCCGTTTATTAATATCTCTAGTTTTTTTTATAGTGGTTGGGGTACTTGAAGTTTCACCACTGTACAATAGAACTGTTGGAACGTTAGTGTTGACTTGGGTTTCGGATAAAAACTGCTTTGAGTACCAAATATTCTTCAGTTAAGATCTTTGGACTATATGGCTTAAAATCGGTTGCTGATGTCACATTTCTATGATATTTTATATTCTTTTATTCATCTTAAACTGCATGGTTGATGTGTGGTCTTTTCGCCGATCATTGACATTTCTATCAGTTTTACTATTTTACTTCTCACTCTATCAATTTCTTGTGTTGTTTTGATGTACATTATGAGGTATTGAGTTGATACAGATTTATGCTGGGTCCATACGACAGTAGAAGTGAAGTACTTCTCGTTTTTTTGTTAAAATCCATTTTCATTCTTGATCGATTTAATATCGTATAAATAACTCAAGACAAGTTCTTAAATTCCTGATAGAAAACTGTAATCGATGGAGTTTAGGTATACTCAGCTACCATTTCAGACGTTTGAACCTCCTATTTTCTAGTTGTGCAAATATCTCAATTAACTTAGATATCTCACCTTTTTTTGAACTGTATAATTATGAATGTTGATTATATGCACTCACATAATGCTGTAAAACAGTTGCAAATTATTTCGATACCCAATTGTTTTCTTTCTATCTATCCATTGAAAAGAAAGAAAAACAATTTATAGAAATTCAAGTACCTTAGATATAAGGATGGAAAACGTAGTTGTATCGGCTGAACTATTAGAAAACTTGAATAATTGTATACGGTTGGAATTGACTGTTAAAAACATTTTTAAAATATGTTTTGAATAATTATAATTTGTAGGCATGGTAAGGAGATATTTGTTGTTATATCCTAAAGTCGGTGGTAGTCGTACGGTGTTCCAGCCAGACTGCTTGGTCAAGCCTTTTGTAGTGAAGCCTAGTGTCCCTTCTGTAATGGATTCCGTGTTTCCAAAGCTCACAAACCCACTGCATGGATGTGGTTTTATGGGGAACCACAACCCCACGGATCTTGGAGTGGGTGTCTCACCAAGAAGAGTTAGTAAAGGATTATTTGAGGCTTTACCTTGGATAGGTATAATGTACATGCATACTATATGATACACAGTCTCTCATCCATGTATCCCTGGGCATATATACATGTATACCTACTCTGTGAATACGTATACCGGTAACACACCGATTTTATTCCTTGCATCCCATTGCGTGAATATAAATATATTCACCCACTTGAGAGGGTAGATATTCTCCACCCCCTTTGAAATACATTTGCTACAACCGACTGTCTTACACGTTACATGCATATGATTGGCGCGGTGGCTATCTCCAAAGTACTTTATGACACACACATAAATATTCTCTCATGGGAGGTTGTTGTTCACATCTTCTTAGTATTTGCTGCTGTATCCTCTAATTATGTCTTCTACTTGAGAGATTAGGCTGTTGATTTTGTTATCATGTTTTTAGATAGAGTAGAATTTAGGACGAACGTTTTGTCTTATTTCTTTAGAACATGTCAATATGTTGTGTACATTTAGATGCTGAAAAGTCTTGAGAATGGAATGAAATGAGGCTTTTGACTTATGTTAATTATTTAGCTATAGTTTTGACGACCAACAAGAACTCAAATTTATATCAAGCTCTGTTCATCATTGATAATTGAACATGTTTATCGTCATACTGAATGTATCTACGTCAAATATACTTTTTAAATTTTCTCAATGTACACTATACATTAACATCATAGCGTTTAGAAGAGCACTTAAATGCACACATGTTTATGTGTGTGTGTGTGTGTGCTTGTGTATTCATCACAGCATGCCAAAAAAATAACTTGAAACATTTTGTCAAATATTTCACCATGTTTATATTAAAAGTAACAGTTATGCATAACACTATTTTGTAACCATATAGTTATAATTAAATGTATGCATCATGTGATTGTGATGATGTAGTGGAACACAATTTTGTCTTCTCCAAATCATTGTAACCTTGGTACACTCTTGTTACATTTACATATCTATATCTGTATATTTGTCAATGAATGATATGTGTAATGTGTATGTCCATGAGAATTACGGACAGATTACTTTTTTTAAAATCACTAGAAAATATAGTAATTGATTACTATTAAGTTGTGTTGTTGTAGTTTGATGCTAGTTTTCGAAGTTGTAGATAAGTGTTATGTGAGATTATGGATGACCTTTGAGTGACGCTAAAGTGACCCTGAGAATGTTCACCTACTAACTAGGACTAACATAAGGGTTATAAACCAGTGTGAGAAAGTAGAATTATGATTCACAGTTGAAGAGATTAAGGTTAGAAACTACATTTAGAGTTTTCATCACCAACTGATATAATCTAAAATGCCAAAATGATATTTAGCCAAATAGGTGAATGAGTTTCACAAAAAAAATACAAGATTTGCTATCCTATATCTAATTGGTTCATCCATAAAAATTATAGTCTCGCCAGACGAAATAACTCTAATGTTTCGTAGTTATTAACGTTTTTTTAAAAACTAAAGTCTGTTACAATATACTTACATTATTATGGCAATCTTACCCTATAGATGAGACTAAATTTTTATTGTCGTTTGTGATATTTTTCTCTTTATGTTCGATCATTAAGCCAAACTACACATTGGTCACGGTTTCTCATTAGAACTTTTCAAAGTTAATCACTAGTAAGCACAACATATCGTCATAAGAAAGATTATTGAGTTCTTTATTGATTCATTGGATCCAAATGCTTAATACTAACTTCATATATATATATATATATATATTAGTAGTGAACGAGAACACATGAATGGGGGGCAACCAAATGTATTTGAACACAAAATTACGGTATTTCTTAGTAAAATCTGAGAACTATACAGTAAAAAGTAATTCATTTGCGAAATATCCGCCAATTGTATCAGGCTTTGTTGTTTCTTTGTTTCCATACCAATCACTGTATTCGGTCTGTTCTCTTCGGTTTCCTCAACTTTCTGCCTTCCTGCATTCCACTTTCGATTGGTGATACATACTACTTATATCCATCGACATCAGTAGCACACACCACTATATGTGTAATGTAGATTACTAATTATAATTGTTTCGAAATTGACGTTGATTTAATATCTAAGATAAATATTACTTCACATAAAAAGAAAATTATTATTATTAGTATTATTATTATTATTATCATCTCATCGTTGCATGTGAATTAGAATGAATCGTATGATCGTGTGTTTGTATATGCGTGAATGTATGTTGTATATATGTATGAGTGTTTGTGAGTCGATGAGTGCTCTTCATGATGATGATGATGATCATCATCATCATGTGTTGCTGTAATTTGCTAAGTTAATCAGGCTGATCGGTCAATTAATCTTCTTTTTTTCATTTATCTTATCAATGTGATTCATAATGATAAAATTTATGATAATGTAGTAAGTAAGGTTTTGATCATGTGTGTTTTCTCTTGAATATATCTAGATTTATTAAATAATTATAATCTGATCATTGTTTTATATACGTCAAATTTTATAATTGATGATTATAATCACTGACCACATCATATCGTCTATTAACTGTAGTTAGAAATGTGAACGTTTAGATTTCGACTGAGTGATGGGAGAGATCGCTTAAGTTTTACAAAAAAATTGCTTCATTTGTAACATAAATAAGATATCCATTTGACAACGATAAAACGAATAAACTGAACAGTAGTCAATTCTGTGTTGCTCTATGATTGTAAATCATGGTCTATAGAAGAAGAGGATATTCACAAGGTTCAGGGTTTTGACCGTAGATGTTGTTGAAGCACTCCTCGTGCATAGTAAATATTCAAGTTGGCAATCTGGAGGCTAATCTTAAGGTATGAAAGAAATGTGGTGAATCGGTTAAGTGTGCTTGTCAGTCTTCATTGACTGAGCTTGTCAAAAATTAACCTCAATGAAACTGCCATTAAAATACAAGTAAGCAGTGAACAGCTGTTTCCTTCTTGTATGAGACTCTTTTTTAAATACACACATACACACATACACACACACACGACTTTCAGGTATCGTGGCGTGCCCTCAACTATCAGAACCACTGGGTTGACATCCAGTTTTATAGCTCCAACCTCAATTTCCGACATTCTAGTGATAAACATTGAGTGTTATGGTTCAGGTTTGTTGTAGGTGAGATGAATATCATCAGCGACTTCGTAATGCCATTTATTGATTGGGTCAATATCCAGTGGTGCAACTTCAACTCAGTTTGTGATAAAATGCAACGGTCATGCAATGTGATTGCTGATAACTATTTTGATTTTGACATGCCTCTTCTCTCATGAGTCCTTACCCTTATGGAAAAAAAACATTATTTTGCATGCTTCAACCCTGTGCATTTAATTAATTAGGTAATAATAAATTTGTAAAATTTTTTTTAATTATACAGTCTTTTCATTTTTCTTTTCTATCTTTCATAGTCAAGCAAAGATCCAAATGCATTCAATACTCGAACTATTGGTCAAACAATGCATATTCAGTTGACAAAGATGTTAACTACCGGTCTTGGTTTTACATTGACTAGTCGTGATACACAAACACAAAGTTCACAAATGTCTGATCCGGTGTATGTGAAAAAGATTTTACCCGATGGCGCTGCTATACAAGATGGACGTTTACTGGTCAGTGTTTTACTGAACTATTGAATATAACTTATTCTATTATATACTTTGGATAGAGACTTTTGATAGGAAATGTTTTTCATTTTATGCACAGTTCTTCAGCTGGATATACCTGTATCCGAGTGTTGATGTCTCGACTAAAACCATAGTTAACAGCCCACTTTAAACGTCATACTGTTCTGCTCTAGTCTAAAAATCAGCTTCTTCAGCCTTCAAACGACCTGGTACTGTCAAGTATAACTACATTCTATTTTCCTTTTCAAAATGCTTTTATATGATCGTTATTACAGTCTCTTCTGATAAAATCCTACTCACTGCCTTCACTCAGCAAGCCATTTTCTATACCAAACCGACAAAATTATAAGAAAACGTCCGGGCGTTAGACTAGTTTGGTAAATATGGAAGATCTACTCCAGATGAGTTGAAAAATCCTGATTTCAAACCAGTTTTGTACATGGGTTATAAGATTCTTAGGGTACAAACGAAGTATAAATCTATTTTTGCTCATTGACCATCATGGGACTACAGCTCCTGGCGTTACTCCACTATCTCGTAGATTAGATCTTATGATGAAAGCTTCGCGGAATTGGGTCTTAATAAAAAGGTCTGCTTTAGATTTATCAGCCGAGTAGTATCCCAGTTCACACAAATTGTGTGTAAGCTATTCCAATTTTGTTGCCCAATTGTATGTGATATTGATATGAGTTTAGTAAATAAATAAATAATGGATTTTTAAAAATGTGTTTGTTACTTAATATTGTATATAAAATGGTTTATTCTTTTCGGTTGTTAATACTCAGAACTGAATTTATCAGTTTTCGTTTACTCAAACACTTATCCAAGAAATCAATCTGTGAACAAATGGCTTATCGATGATGTTCTAAATATCGATAATCAGGTTAAAATAAATTGGTACAGTTAGTAGTTCTCTGGTTTGTTGATTAACTGGATTGATTATGATGTACGACCGAGTGTTGATTGATTGCTTACAAGACCAGAATTAATTAAGCGAACCGCTTCTCGTCACTCAATTAGAGGTTTATTTTTAATGAAGTGTACAGGACTGATGGATACATAAGATTAGTTCTGCCGAACCAAGCTTGTATTGGTTGTTTGAGTTTTCCCATTGATGTTTAGGACTGCAATTGATCAGTCTCATATTGACAGATGTACATCCTGCGCGGATTGCCTCGGTATTGCCTTAAATCACAGGCAGTAGAATCTAGGACACGTGTTTGGTCCTATTTGGGACTAGTCAGCTGGATGTACCTGTAACACCAAGCGAATTTAAACTTCACCCCATCGGAAAAGAATGTGTTTTGTCTCGTAGCTTATTGTACTAGTCTTCGCTTAGTTGTTCAATAACTTGTGCTGTTGTTACAGACAGATACTCTGGTGACTGATAGTATGCAATTATTTTCTAATATAACAAGATAACATCTCGAAAGAACTACTATAAATTACTGACATGAACTTTATTTCTTAAGTGAATGAAGCTACTTTTAGTGGTGGTGAGAAGTTTCCACTCTTTGCAATATCACGTTTTAACCCCGTTTTTAAGTTCAGTTTATCTAGAATAATGGATAGATATCTATATTTCACCAGGGAGCACTTTTGAAAGTGGCTAAAGCTTTGTCAGTTTACAGGTCCTAAGTTCTACTGGTAGTACCAGTACACGACAAGATGCATATAACTGACCTCATGATTGTTTCTTTTTATCTCATTCTCTTCTGGTTACAACTTCACTAATATTTTAAGTTATTCATTTTCATCTCATTACAATTAAAATATCCGATACAACAGATGTTAAGCCGAAAATATTTTATAATTTATTTATTCATTCCTAGGCCGGTGATCGTCTATTGGCTATTGACGGTGAAGAAGTTCGTTCATTAAATCAAGTTTTATCACAGTTACGATCATTGACACCAGGGAAACAAGTGGATTTGCTCATATCTCGACAAATGTCTTGTAATTTAGACTCGAATACTCGCAAATCTTCACAAAAACACTTACCTCCACGTGTAAGTTCATTGTATTCTTTTTAATGTCACTTTTTATTGTGTTTATTGGTGACTTTTCTTGATGAGGTTATGTGAATTGCATTGGTTGGATCTTTCAAACATTCATGTACTTAGCGACATGCTTTACAACAGTAACTGATCAATTGCAGTTTTAAACATCAATGGGAAGATACAAGCCAAACAATACCAAGTGAAGTAACGTTTTATTTTTATCTAAATACCGAAATTGCAATTCCAAGCCATCTGAATTTATTACGATGATGAACAGACTACGTTCTTCAGCAAAACTTAGAGACGTAGTTGATGGTTGCAATGTTGTTTGGTCAAAATAAGATTACATTCTGCTGAAATTCGTTTCGTTGTTTGCAAGATGGATTAGATGGATATTGCGATAAATTCAGTCTTGAAGTGGTATGGAAAGATTTTACATACTCTGACCTGTTTAGTCAGATAAATTTGTTTTTCTTTGCAATTTTATCAACACATACCTTACTTGTTTTGGAAGTAACAGTGAACATCACGTGCGTTATGTTTATATGTTAAATGGTGGGACGTAGTTGTTAGGATACCTTTGTTAATCTAGGTCTATTTGTAGTTGGCACTCGATAACAAGTGGTATCTGGGATCTTAAAGTAACTGTAGCATTCGAACCCACTGTTATATTCCGATGAGAATAAGGAATGGTAACTTTTGGGACTCATTTATGAACCGATACTGCACGTATATTTTTAGCGTATAATTTTCAAGTAACTAAACTATTCATATTCGTGTCTCTCTTATTATGAGCTTTATTTTGACCTGTGAGCTATTATTATACGATTTACCATTCTTGATTTATACCCTGTCTATCAATTACTATCTCCCACATTCACAGCCACTTTTGACTAAATCTTGTACAAATGTTGTTTCCTATTTTACGGTACGATGTGGTCTGTTTGATTGGTATATAAACCCACTATATTTGAAGTACATGATTCATACCAGTGAGGCTGGGATCGGTGTTCTGTAATCAACAAGCAGGCGGGGCTAGGTAGGAAGAAGGACCTATAAAGACTCTAGATTGCTCGTACAGGTTTTATGCGTCGATAAATTACTGTTCTCTAATTGGCGGTATCGTTACGTTATACGTTAACAGGGCACACAGGTCACAAGTTATAACACTCTCATCATCCTCTTTCACAGTATGAGATGTTACTACTGAGTTATTCGGGGTGTGACTAACCTCCTGTAATACTGAGATATTTACATTGATTCGTCAATGATTGGTGACTAATATTTTGTTTGTCTGGTCCTTTAGAACTGTTTAAATCCTATCGATCAAATGTGATAGTATTGATAATCTTCGTGGAATAATGAAATCTGACTGACTACTTAAAAACACCCACTTACACACAATGATCCAGTTACATTAAAATCGTTTTATTTACATTTGGGTTCGAGTCCTGGGTTGAACAACAACTCATGGATGCTTGACAAGTTCCAAAAATAAGACGAAACACACGTTTTAGATTCTAATTTCAGCCATTTATCTATCTCACCCGATCACTGTTTTTTTTTTCATTGTGAACTAGTAAACGTCATACACGAGACTACAATATACCTTACTTATTTAGTTTACTTATTATTCAGAGTTGCTCGTGTTTGTTTGTTTATTTTTAGTTATTTTTATGATAACAATTAATGTGAGAAATTTTCTTCTATTTATCAATGTGATCACTGTAGTTAATTGATAATTATCACTGGTATTTTTAAGAAGAAGAAGAAGAAGAAAAATATCTTCTATACACATTCCTAATCAAACTGTCAAATTTTGATATACAACATTGAATGGAACCTTTTTTCTGGTTCTACATACTCTATGATCTGTGTATATGTTTGTATGTGTGTGTGTGCGTGTGTGTGCTTACGTGCGTGTGTACACTTACTGATTATGTTGAAAGAATGATAATGAAATAGAAAAGAAAGTGATTGTATAAAGAAAATAGAAGAAGGGTATTCATTTATATGTTAATGTATTATTTATTAAAGAAGTTTGAGAATAATCATTTTGTCTTTATGGATTTCATATGATAGCTGATAATTTTATCATGTTTTATTGATATTGATTTCAAATTATAGTGGGTTTTTTTTCTTTTCACCTTAATTGTTAGGGTCAACTTTTGTTTATGAATAATGGAATGTTTTTATGTTGTTGCCTGGTACTGAACTTTGTACAATCAATCATTCATTCAGTAATAGACATTGTCATATTTGATAGATATGGAACTTTGAGTTGATGAAGATTTGTAGTTAAGGTGGTGTATGGTTTCGGTTAAGTTTTGTTCTCTGAGCTGGATGGTTTAATCATGGATTTTTTTTGTTGTTGATGCTTTTTTGATGTTGATGATGAACATCTGTAAAATGAACTGTTCCAACTGTGAGAAACACTACATTGGATAAGTAGGCACCTTCTTTATCTTCATAATGTGTCTACATTGATATCAATGCACGTGGATACATGTTCAATTGGGAAAATGTTGAGATTTTGGATAGAGAAAATACACAGAAGATCAAAGTGTTTCTAAACACTTGGAATTAGGTAAATCAATGATCAATAAACACATCAAAATCGACCCAATTCACCAACCATTTGGAAAAGTCATGGACCTTACATAAGATAATGAACCAGGTCATGTTCTAATGTAGGCATTACCAGGCTATTTTTATGCTAAATCTAAAATGTGATGTTGATCATTGGTTAAACTTGAGTTGTTGAGTTATGCATCTTATTTTTGGTAGTAGGATTTATCTAACTTACAGTGGTACATTGATGACTTAGTTGATCAAAAACCTCAACTTTCAACCAATAAGTCTCAGGTAGAAATCTTGCTCTGCCTAGTTTGGTTTTGGTAACTGGGTAGGATTACATTAGCTCTTACATAATAAGTATGTTACTTAGAGCAAATCACATAAATAATTGTACTTGGTGAGTCAGCTTCAAATAATTATCGGTTGTTCTTATTCATTCCTTTTTATTTATATTTAGCCGTTTATGACTTGTACCTTTGAGTATCAACTTCCATTGGATACTACTACGAATCAATCAGATACTATAAAAGGACCTCCAGTATTAGGAATCAATTTCAAATGGTCCAATGATATTTTAACATCACCATTATTATCTTCATCCCCATCATCACCACAGACAGTAACTACAAAGTCAATTACAAGACCAGCTTCTCCATCTCAGTATTCTCCTATACCAGGTTTATATGTCGATAGTCTTCTGCCTGATACTCTTGTTACTTCAAGCAATCATGTAACTGTAAAAACTGGCGATCGTCTTGTTGCAATTAATGACGAATCTGTAGATGGAATGAATGCTAAAGTAAGCTAAAATGAATGATAATATTTATTCTGATTCACATATTGGTGAATTGTAATTACAAATTAATTGATTTTCTTTAAATTTCATAGAACATGTTATGTAATAATGTATGGGTGACTTTAAAAATAATAACATTTGACTTCTTCCCTTATTTGAAGATATCAGACAAGTGTTTGGAACTATGATAGATTCATTACAATATAAAGCATTTATTACATCAATCATGCTAAAACTGTTATTAATTATAAAGTATTAAGACAAGAATAGCGAAACATTGCTCGTATATCCTGGGAAGATCGAGTAAGTAACGCAGTTGTTAGGAAACGGGTACTAGGTAAGGATGGCAAATCCATTGATGAGGTAGTGAAACTTCATCAGTTGAGATGGCTGGGTTACGTGTTACGTATGCTCAACGACCGACTACCTCGACGTGCGATGTTCAGTGGTATAGGAGTTGGTTGGAAGAAAGCTAGGGGCGGCCAGACCAAAACATGGCATAAGTTCATGAAGTCACTGACAAGTGGACTGAGTCATGTCGGTAGGTGTAGACTACCTGGTTGGGGATCGCGAGATGATAGCAACCGATGGTTAGAGACCTTGAATGACATGGCTCAAAATCGTTTGCAATAGCGCAAGTGCATCCACTCTTTGTGTTCTTCAAAATTCTAACCTTCTGATTCCTCTTTATCTCTTTTTTCTATTTCGAAATTTATTTCGCTGGATTATACTTCTTGAATAAAATCTTCAAACCCTAATGTTTTTGATTACTGCTTATACTCTTACTACCTCTACGACTACGGGATTTGAATCGACAACTGGATCTTTGTGCTAATGTGGTATAGCAACCCGAACTGATATATGTACGTACGAAGTTCTACGTTGTTACTGACTGACTGAAGACGAGAATAGAATATATTCCTTTTGTATACAGAGGCTAGACTTAATTTTATCCAATAATTAAAACTTCTTGGATTTCAGAAGATTTAAGAAATCTATAATTAGATTGAAATCCAACTCATATTCTCTTCCCTTTGATCAGTATATACATATGCTGAGTCATGCATGCTGTGGTATGTATCTGTTGAAAGCGAACACTAGCTAGGATTATTTTCTTTCCTTTCTAATTGTTGGGAGTTCTTAGAAAATTCCTTTGAAACTAGGAAAAATGTCAACAGTACTATGTTTGATAATTTTCGAAAACAGTTTGTAAGATGATTGATTATATCTTTCTTATTTTGATTAAACAATTACCAGATTAGTTGCCGATTTTTGTTTGTTTTTCGTTGTTTCTTGCATATTTCCGACCTGTTTCTTTGTTCATTGTTTCTGGAGACTATTGAATTGCTGAAAGTCAGTGCTTATTAGGATGTCCTACTAACTGCCTTCTTGCGGCAGGGGTGTTGCTTACGAAACTAAGAGCACGAAAAACGAATGTCCGGCGCTTTAACCGGGTTGGTGGACACGGAGAGTTCACATAGGGGAGTTGGCAAGCCATCATTCCAAACCAATGGTACACATGGGCTCCAGTATCTTGAAGGAACAAATTACGTGTTAATCTATTGTTGGTCACCGGCTACCATGAAACTGCATCTCCTGACGTTGCTCAACTGCCTTATGGATCAGACCTTTTGGTAGAAGGCTCCGGGTGTGGTCCCCTAAAAAACCCATCTGCCTAGGTTTGGGTGTCCAGGCAGTATTCAAATGATTTATGTGGTGCATATATATTTTGTGCCTTCTTGTAGCTATGTTTATGTGTTTAAATAAATAAATAAATAAATAAATAATAAATAGTGTTTAAGGAGTTCAAAGTACATGATTTAGGAACATGCGAACTGGTAAAAGCCTGTATATAGGCAATTGGATAAGAAAAAAAAAGTCATCTTTCATGTACTCAGAAATCATTTTGAAGTCTGTAGATGTTAGATAATCCATACTCAATGGTTATTATGTGCTTACATGATTTTAGGAGTTTGGTCGGTTTGTATATTCTTGACTTCATGAATTAAGTTTAACCAGGATGGATGGAGAATGCTGGTCGGTGACCTATGCTCCATTGGGAGTAACAGGCGTAAGTAAGTAAGTAAGATACTCGTTGAAAAAACTCCGTTGTATTGATCGGCTGTTTCATCTTAGTATATAACAACTCCTTAACCATGTGGATTCAGGACTGCATCAGGAATGAAACTTAGAATTCTCAAACTTAACAGCATGTAAAAAAGATCATAATTACAAAATGGGTCGAAAATATTTAAACAGTTGAAATCGATCAAATCTAGAACAATCATTTTACTCTTGACTTATTCAGATTGAAGAAAAATGGGGAAAAAATTGTATTCAAAAAAAATTCCCAAAGGCTATAAATAAGTGGTTACGTGTAACAAACTAGTGCTTATGATAAATAAGAATAAAATGTGTAATTATCAGTTAGTTAAATAAAGATAGAATTATTGAACTAGAAGAGAGTTAACAAAGTGACATAATTATGTAATCCATCGAATGAAATCATTGAAGATATTCTTATTATGTCATCAAATACATTTCATATTATCAAGACAAAGATAAACATATCAACCGTTCCTTTTTTAACATAGAAATGAGATTTTGGGATACGTGATAGAAATTGTATCAACTTGGTGTTTTGTGTCCAAGTGGTCTTTGAAGATTGGACCATTCATCAAAAGGCTTTTTCATTTTGATGGGTAGCTTTGTGAAATATGTTTAAAGAATTCAAATTATCACCTTCCCGTTCGGCCAGTGTAGTTGCCGTTGCAGATACATGTAAATTTATAAACCAATTTGATGGTAACATAAAAAAGACACTCATTGACTCTTCAGTTATTGAATACGTTGTTTGATACAGGGTTAATAGTTAAGTTCCAGAGAAGGTTCTGGTCACTGAATCGTTCAAAATTCTACTGGCTATCATTGTAACATTATCACCTTTTAAATTGAGATGGATGAAAGTTGATTTTTGTTGACTGTAGCCATATTCGACTTGTTGTGTTTTATTTTTCAATGATTTTTTTTGGATAGCATTTGTTTTTTAGTCACTTTTCAACATTCATCAATCTTTCTTTCTTGAAACCATGAATTGATCAATGTTAGGCCACCATTGAAAACCTGGAAGCACTGGACGGCCATTTCGTATTAGTGTAGAAGTCGTGGGCAGTGTACGCCTTCGATTTCGCACGTGGGATTCGGACTCAGGACGTCAGGTCTCGCGCTCGAACGCTTAACCTTTATACCGGTGAGCTGGCTCCAACGTTATGAATGTCTAACTCCAATCAATCCACTCACTGCTGAAGAGTCCCATATTAAGACGAAAAGACCATCCAGTGCTTCCACGTTTTCAATGGTGGTCTAACATTGATCGATTCATGATCTCATCCAAAAACTCAATAATCTTCACAACTTCATCCTAATAATTCTTCTTTCAGTTTTTCGATTTTGCATACATACGCGTTATACTCTATAGAACAATATTTAAACAAATGCCTTATTATAACTGAGTAGACAAAAATTTATTAAAGTTCATGTACTCTTTAAATAAATCGAATGCTATATGGTAATGTTAAGCACATGGAACTTAAAGATCTTTTCGTATTTCATTAAATAAACTGGATAGAATGATGCGACCTCGTGCTGAAAATTCTAACAGTCAGACTAGCCACTGTTCACAACATAAATGTATAATTCAGTGTATTCTGTTATGTTGTCAAATTCTTATTCTTGCTACTTGTTTTCAAGATAATACATTAATACTTTAGGTTTTAGATAGCTAATGAGAACCTGAAGTAGCAAAATAAACACGTGTTATTCTATTCAATTGATTGCTATTATATCTATTATCTAATAAAAAGAAAGTATTTACCTAAAAATGTTAACTTATGGTGTAATCTACCAAATGTTCTGGTACGGCCGAGAGTCCACTCTCCTTCTCGAAATGCTCTCACATGGCCACGCGTATATAGCCTCTGCCACGGGATTCCTACTCACTGCCTTCTCGTGGCGGGGGTGTTGTTTACGAAAGTGAGAGAACGAAAACCGAATGTCCGGCACTTTAACCGGATCCCAAACTAATGGTGCACGTAGGCTCCAGTATCCGGAAGGATTAAATGGCGTATAAACCAATCGTTGGTCACCGGCCACCATGGGACTTCATCTCCTTACGATGCTCCACTGCCTTGTGGGTTAGACCTTCAGGTCGAAGGCTCTGGGTGTGGCCCTCTAAGAAAACCACTTGCTTCGGTTTGGGCACCCGGTCAGTAACACAGCCCTCACACATATCGAATGAGATTTGTGTGGCGCATATGTATTTGGTGCCTCCTTGTACCAATTTCTATGTGTTAAAATAAATAAAATAAAATAAATAAATAAATAATCTACCATTCCTTCTTTTTAAATATCAGCTTTATATATGATCATATGAATTAGTCGTTATTGACAAAGTTACTACTTACCTAGTTTTTGATATTTTCATATAAATGGTATGTAAATAATAATGGGATCAAGGACATGTTTTTCTTCCAGTTTAGGATTCGTCGGCTGAATGTCACTGTATCTCAGTGTTGATGTTCACATAATGATTCATCAAACCTAGTACTTTTTGTTTTAAATTCCTAAAAGACTATCCATTGAGCTACTGATCTCAGATGTTTAGTGCTTTACAAAACTCTTACTAATGTTTTTTTTCACCATTTGTCGACGAAAACTCATTATTGTTTAGGTGGGTTTTTGCTCTCTGAGCTGGATAGTTTGGTCGTGAAGCTTTTATTGTTCCTCTGAACAACATCATTAGCATAAACTTTAGGTGAAAACATAGTGTTCGAGTTTTGAAAAGAAAAACTCCTCCTGAGCTACAAATCTTCAGTATTATTGTTTAATTTGTGATGATAAACTACATATCTATTCTTCAATATTTATTTTTATAATACGACCTCGGATTCATTCGTTTACTTTTTTTTGGGGGGTATTTGTTTTACTCTAGACTATTGTAAATAAGTTGAAAAATGTTATCAAACAATGTCATGAGCGAAATATTAGTAGCTCCGAACAATCGTCAGCCTCATTCACTCTCACTGTTCATCGATATAAAAATCAAAATGATCGTCGATCAAGTGTTGGAGATACATTGAAACTAACTTCTGCACATCCACCAAGGTAAAATGATTTCTATGTATTTGTGTATGTAAACAAACTTTGTAGTTTTGTCAAAATATTTGATTTAGTCGTCACATTGAGACTTTGGGTTAGATACGATCAGTAGGATACGTTCTTATCTTTCATCGTAACCTATCGATCAAGTTTTATTAAGTGACTGAATATTACCATCCATTTTGCTTTGAGGTTAGTACCCAATGACGCAATATTTTATGCAATGCAAGCAATAAAGTATTGTGATTTATAGAATAGAGATTTACTGTTGTGATGATGTTCAGTCCGACTTCCTGGTCTAATAACTTGACCCCTAATACATCCAAACCCATTCTTTAAACCATTATTTAGGCTATTAATTTTGTGTTATTGTTACTTGTTCTGTTGTCGATTAGTGGGTGAAAATGGTTCTCATGATCAACGCTGGCTTAGTGATTCAAACACTCAGTTTTCAATCGTCAGATTGGATGTTTGAACCTTCCACCTAGATTCTACTATGTATCGTAAAGAGGCATAGTGTCAACAATCTTCATCTTTTAGGGTTAATGCCGATCCCAAACCTGGGTAAAAAAAGAGGATTGGGCATGGGGTTAGCAACCCTTTTTGGTTCTAGTCTCATTCAACTCTCTCGCTGATAGAAATTTATATTGAGTTAAGTTTTATAATGTATAGGCTTTAGATAGCAAATATATATTCATATTTATAGCACTGGGTTGGATGATCTATATGTTGAATGTTTTTTTTAAATTGAGTTAACTTAACAGGTGGTTTTTATATTCCATTGAACATAGATTCATCAAGATTTGATGATAAATACATTCATTGTTGTAGTTAGTTATGAGCTGCATAGGACTTGGTACAGAGATGTATATAAACATGAACTGCTACACTTCAAATCACATTATCAATAAATTGACAGTAATATCAATATTAATGTAAACTGATCTTGCTGTATACTAATGACCACAACATTCTATTAAAAAAACTATCAGGTCTCTTCTTATCTTAGTTGTAGACATATTAAAACAACACGTGAAGCAGTAGAAAAGGGTCATCCTGGTCGTCATGAACATGGTAAATTGAATAGCCCAGCTGATTCACAAGATACTTGTTCATTATCGTTTACATTAAATGATAGTCGTCGACGTTTGTTACATAAATCTGATTCGATATCGTCTGAAATTGGATCACATATATTGCATCATGATTATCATGGGGATTCTCATTCACATTTATCTAGTCAAAGATCAGATATTCATGAGGATAATCATCTGTTATCAACAGAATCATTGTTAAAAGTGAACCATCCCACATCAAGAAATTTATCAGTACCGTCTAACAGAAATTTTTTACGTGATGGATTTGGACGTCGTAGTGTTTCAGAAAAACGTCATGGTCATGTGGATGCTTCACAATATTCGTTTTTTCAAACAAATATTCTTCCTAATCGTTATAAAATGCCAGAAGGTAATTTTAGCTTGCTCAATATTTCACTAATTAGTATAATTTTTTTTAAAAATGACTTAGCAAATTAAATTCATTCGAAGATTGTTTTCAACTTGAACTGACTAACTTCAGAGATACAACTTTTAAATACTAATCAACATTCGGCAAATGCTTCGCTTTATTCTAGGATTCTTCAGTAATACTCTTCACATATTCTACTAATAGTCGGACTCAGAACAATGAGAACTTATGATGAACATTTAGGTCACCCGGTTGGGGACTACGGCTTCAATTCCTACTGACATAACTTAATCTTTATCGACTCTTATCAGTGAACCATTATCTCACTCGAGATTTAGCTGACTCTACAGACCACAACAGATCGTACTGAATTCAATTCATGGGGGGGGGTTGGACTATTTGTTTCAAATTATCGTACAATCTACTGATCTTTACTCATAAAAATAACTAAATGGTAACATAGGCAAGGATGGATAATGGCTAGCGGTAGAATCCAAGACGCGTATTTCGCCCTATTTGGGACTCGTCAGCCGGATGTACCAAGTGAGTTTAAACTTCACCCCATTGCATAAGCAAGTGGCTCTCGGGACCCAGTAACTAAGTGGATAACGCAATGGTATTTGAAGCGAACGGTCCCGGGTTCAAGTCCCGAAGTGAACATCAACACAGAAGATGCATGTACATCCAGCCGACAAGTCCCAAATAGAACGAAATCCGCGTCTTAAATTTCACTGCTAGCCACTATCCATCTTTGCTTATAATGCTTATGAATTAAGGTAATATCGAGTCAATACGCACAGGAATCACATATGTCAATAAGAGACTAACCGTTAGATAATACCACTACAAGCTTAGAGGTGTTCATGAAAATAATGATGAATGAATAATAAAGTAATTAAATCAATAACAAATTCATTAAACCATTTTGTTATAAAAAAATTATCAGATTCCATCATATCTAGTACGTGTATTGAGAATATTTTTAATAAAATGTTACTAATGGTCACGTAATAACGAAACAAATGTAGTCTAATAATTATGTGTGAGCAAAAGATCAACTAAATATGTGAGAATTTTGTCGATAAAACACAAGGGAGAGGAATAACATATTATTTGTAACTCGCTTCAGTATTGTTAATGCTGATTTCCAAGGTAAATTGATCAGTTGTATAGACTTTTTATGAATTCATAGATCTGTTCTACTATGATGGATATGGTCAAGACATTTATTGCATATACTTAACTACCTCCTACCTCTACAAGAGATCCTTGCTAGTGCGGAAGTAGGTTTAAATAGAAGTAAAGGAGGCCAAAATAAAACATGACATCAGTTTGTGAAGTCGTTTACTAATTGATCTGAGCCATGTTGGTAGATGCATATAATCTTATTGGCGTCCACTTGACAATTGCGTCGATCTGGAATCCCAGTATACCCTCAGATATACTTTTCCACTCCATATATTCGAACTATATTCTAAATGTTCAGTGTTCCTTTGTATCATTGATATTACATTATTTCAATCTCTTTTGTTGTTTTTATATCTTTGTGCTGATCAAATATGGTAACGTGAACTAATGATATTTGTGCCAGGCTATGTTGATGATACCTGTCAGTCTGCTAACTGTGGAGTCTTAATTAGAACAAAGCATCGTATCCTAGACTCCGTTGCTAGTCATATACTATCTTTGAAGAGATTACGAGAATACCGAAATCGCTGAACCGAACGGCAAGATAAACTAAAGTATTGCAATGGGTCCCAGCCCCAGACCAGGTTCAAATGAGGGAAAGGTATATTCCACAGGCCGCCAGGACCACGAAAAAACCAAACACACAATTCAAGCATATATATACATTATAAAAAAGTCCTTGGGAGACGTCACAAAATAGCGTATTTATGAGGCAACGAATCAATGACATTTAGGATCTTTCCAAATAGGAAATACAATCTGAAGGTAGAAATGTCCGCTTTCGGCGCGAAAACGAGAAATTCAAACTTCCAAAATAAAATTACTAACATAAAACGTTTACCAAGAGATTTCTGAGGATCTAGTATCTTCAACATGTACTTTACAAATAGTTTCGCTTTTCAAAAAAATATTTTGTTGTTGTTGTTACATATATTCATCTACTCAAAATAACACTTTTGATAATGATAATTTAATTCTCCATTTTTTAACTCTTTGTTATAATCATATTTATTTAGATGTTGATAAACAATATTCCACTATGCCAACAACACGTCGACTTAAAATGCATAAAGCTCGGCTGGCTGCTGCTGCTGCCAATCCAGATTCATATAGTGGAGGTTTGATGTTTAACAATTCAACATCATGTACAAGCTCAGGTCCTTTAAAAGCATTACATCCATTGGATAATATACTTCCACAATCTTTACCAAATACATCTTATCGAGGTATAAATATTGAATGCATATTGTTATGTAATGTTTATTCTTTCTTATTTATTCAATTCGTTGTATTCCTTTTAATAATATCTCAGTGATTACATCATCATTCATATTTTGTTTACAATAACTTTATTTACAGTCCAATGACTGATTTATTTAGGAATTAAATTTTCAATTATTAAGGTTAATCACGCTTGAATTTCATTCAATTTGACTTTAATCATTGAATCGTGTTATTTGATTCGAATTATTTTTTTCAGAACTATAAGTTGTAATTTGATGTATCTAACTCTATAATGAGTAATTGATAAGTGTTGTGTTTGTTGTTTGAGGATATCAGTTTTTTTTTCAATGTTCAAGATACGATGGATTAAGCATAAACATTCAAATTTATTTATTTAAGCACATAAACATTCGTACAAGGAGGCATCAAATAGATATGTGCCACACGATGAACTTGATTTGTGTGTGGGCTGTGATACTGCCCGGGTGCCCGAACTGAAATAGATGGTTTATTGAGGGAGCCACACCCAGAGCCTTCGACCTAAAGATCTGATCCAAAAGGCGGTGGGGCAGCGTCAGGTGACGCAGTCCCCATAGTAGTCGGTGACTGACAATAGTTTCATACGCCATTGTTCCTTCAGAATATTGGAGCCCATGTGTACCATTGGTTTGGTATGATGGCTTTCGAACTTCCTCTATGTGAACTCCTCCTTGTCCACCAACCCCGTTAAAGTTCCAGACATTCGTTTGCCTCTTCTTAATTTCGTAAACAACACTCGTGGTGTGAGAAGGTAGTGAGTAGGACTTCTGTGGTAGTGGTTGTATGCACTTGACCATGTGAGAGCATTTGGAGTGGGTAAGTTGACTCTCCCCACTCTCAGTCATACCAGGGCATTTGGGGGCAAACATCCAAATAGTAAAATACTACCTTATTGTCTGTATGACTGTAAAAAACATATCTGATATCTGTTTTATTGAATCATGAATGGCCTACTGAAAAAGTTTTATGTATTTGCCTTTGATTTAGTTTGATTTCAATCTTGTTACTTTATTGTCACTTGGCTACTATTTTGTAAAAATTTAATATACACCCTACTAACAGGTTTTTAACTATGTGTATTGCTTGTTTGGAACAATCGTTTTTCGTATCAATTTACCGCTGATTGTAGTAGAGTAGCTTATCAATTATGTCCTCTCCTAGTCAATAACACTACCGTGTTCAGTCAAAAGGTGTTTGAAATCTGTCGATTTTGCTCCTTTCCATTGAATTGTATAACTGTTTATTTCGTTTATTCTGATTTGCATATTCGCCTTATTCATGATATAAAAGCTGATTTTAGTCAAGGTAATCTCTTTCAAGCTATTTACTTTTGTGCGTATGTGCTGATGTGTGTGTGTGTGGATGTGAATTCCACATAAACTAAGTTCATTTATACTATTGTTTATTCTCAACTTTAGTTGTCGGCGGTAGTACTGTTGGACTGTCGGGTTTTCTTCCATTGATTTTTTTTCTCCCACTTGACCTTACTAATATGTACTCTACATAAGCAATGAAAGTATTCATTGTGCTTGTATTTGTTAATCAGACTTTTCATTACATCATTAACTGATGAAATGCACTGAAGACGATAAGTACATTCAATCATCCGACTACACATCATATTATCCAGTCAAACCTATTATCAATCATCAGTTTCTTTAGCTATTATTCTTTTAAGCGCCAACATTCAACAGAAAATTTAATTTTGATTCAAACTCCTATTTACCTTCATAAATATTGGATACATCCATCTGTTGTAATATTTTCTTCTATTTTTATCATTCCAAACCAACTCTTCGTTCTTAATCATTCCTACATCATCATTTTAACCATTGTAAACACATCTTCAAAATTTTCTGAATTGATTGTCTTTCTCTAGGAGGATCTAAATGTTACTTGATGATACTTATTGTGGTATTTCATTATTCTTCTAAAATTTGTTGGATTAATTAAATTCCATTTCAGTACATTTCGTTCTCAGTCTTCATCTGACCATGGTTGTTATCTTCAGTGAATAAAAAATCACTGTGTAGATTTTTATTGCTTCTTGCCAGTTGTCTGTAAGAGTAGTCGTATTACGTCAATAGATGATTTGGAGTGTAACCACTAAGTCCTTGTAACATAAGTAGGCTGAAAAATATTTATAGACGATCATTTCAAGACATTTTATCCACATATGAAGTCATTGACTCTTCTCTTGAACCAGTTCTAGGATACACACTTCTTGATTTGGGCTTATGCACTACTCGTAATCAGTAATGACTTGATGCGTTGAATTTTGTGTGATAAACGTAGTCATAGTGTTATGGTTGCATTCATTCTCTATTTAACTTCAAAATCTCGAGTTCAGTATCATTGCTAATATTCCAATCGTCGGTCGTAATTTTACTTTGAAAATGTATTTCTCGTGTTTCGATTTTCATTGTAGTTGAAGTTTATTACTATTCTTTGCTTCTCAACTAGTCAATTCCCCCTCTCTCTCTGTGTGTGTTTGTATTGATGTTAGGTATGACAATTGGAAGTGTTCTACACTCTTGTCCCAAATCTTTTTTTATCATAACTAACTCACTGATATTATCAAATCCAATTTTTGTGTATATTGTGAAGCGGTGATCCAGTAGTTATTGCATTCGACCTTCAGACACTATTTTGCATATTCGGACTGCCTACTCCACCTACTTTCATTCAGCCAACTGGATAATATCACTAGACCTCACATTAAAAGTGTGGTTCGAAGCCAAGAACATAAATCTATAACTAATAAGTGAATCAATAAATTCAATATTTAAACAAAGAATATTTCATCCGATGAATTCTCTACAGGTCCTACCATTCGTATATCCAAACCAATAATCTGAAAAACGGCCAGGTTAAGGGCATAGTGCATCGTTTAAAGTTAAAGCATGTGAATATAGGATTGTCAAACAAAATAGAATAAAATTGTTAATGTTTATTGGTTTATACTGGCACTATGACCAGTTTCTACTAGATGAGCCAATATCGAGCTGTTCACTTTCTTCATCAGACCTTTGCTTAGCCACATTGGGTGTTCACGGGCACGAAAACGCAAATTCCTAAAACATCAACCAATATAATTTGCTCCACAGGAGCAGTCGAACTGATAAATACAAAATGAGGTGGTTATTCCAGGTAATTCAACTTTTAACCTCTGTATCACCACTGGGCGTGTAGAAAACACTAATCGTAGTTCTCCGGCGTTGAAAGATTTTTGGGTTGTTCTGCGTAATCTCCGAGTTAATATCTCGCTAATCGCATCTCATCTAAATTGTAAGCACATGAACAGGGATTTTTTATTCACCGTTTATATTTCGCCTATTCTCAACTTTGTGATCATATATTTAAGTGTAAAATTGTTACGGTATTCGTTCTCCCTAATAGTATTACTCAAGGTAATTAGCTCTTCTTCACCTATATCCGTAGAACATATAGTGCATATTCGGTAACTAAGAGTTTTGATCAGGTTTCTTTTGTACAAAGCTAGGGAAGTGTGTGTACTGTCATTTCCAGGTATTTTTTTCTACTTAAATTCCTTTTTAATAATCCATTCGCCCTCTTAGCTAAGGAAACGTCCAAAAAACCTATCCTACCATCACTCTCTTCTTAAGATGTAAACTCAATAGCTGGATGTACTTCATTAAACTGCCTAAGAACCTCTTGCTGTGATGTATCATCTTTACAGAGGATGAACGTATCATCCACATATCGACAGTAAAATGTGAATTTTCGAATAATCTTTTCGAGTGGACCATTTTCTAGTTTGGCTAGAAAAATGTCAGCTAGTATAGGGTCTAATAGTGAACTTATTACAACCTCATCCGTTTGTCTATAGATTTCTCCGTTGAACTTGAAATTTACCTTTATGGTGCATTTCGTCCAGACAAATTAGATGGACGAAACGTTGGAATTATTAAAATTTCAATCGCTGAGATGATTTCACATATAATGATTTGTGAATAATGATGTTACATCCAAAGACATCATCTTTAGTCCCAAAGTATTTGCATTTTTGATCTTGTGAACAAATCGGAATACATCCTTAATATTATGTTTTATAAGTTTTTCATCGAGAGGTTTTAATAAAACTTACCAGCCATTTAGCTATAGTATGATAAAGAGAGTTATCCATATCGAAACTTGATCTTAGTGGGATCCCCGGTTTGTGTACCTTTGGTTATCCATACAATCTTGGCCATATAATCTGATTTCATATGAGTCATATCAAAAATAATAATTTTATTCTATTTTGTTTGATAATCCTAAATTTACATGCTTTAACTTTAAACGATGCACTTTGCCCTTAACCTGGCGATTTTTTTTATTGTTAATTTGGATTTATGAATCGTAGAATCTGAAAAGAATATTCTTTATTCAAATATTAGTCTTTTAATATGATGGGGATCTTTAAACAATCAATAAGTGTATATATGTGTTATGGAAAAAGTTTGTTGATCAAGTGGATTATTTTGTTGATGTTGACTTCTCCAAGCTAAACGGTTGAATTGTGGAGCTTTCATTGTCATTCTAGGCAATATCTTTAGCCTCTACCTCTATGATGTAACCATCTAGCTTGGAGGATTTAATGCTATACTCTCTGTATCTTCAATTTTTGACCAAACAACCGGTCAATCTAACTGAATATATCAAATATATTGTACTGCGCACGTCAGGATTGAATGAATTTCATTCCCTTAAAAAAATATAACCAGTTATTTTATGCTTCTTCTTAGTTTGTTCTGTTTCTTGTTTATCTACATTTTTACACCTATACATTTATGAATGTATTTAAAACCAGGTTCAAAAAATTCCCAATCCAAATCTCTGTAAGTCTCTACTTGTGGTGATAAACAATGGTAATCAGTTAGTCAGCCAGTCAGTGAAAATGCCATTTTCTAACACTAAAAGATTTTATTATTCACTTCCTTGGTTATTTTTTGTTGTTGGG